GGAAATAAGATTTGTAGATTGGCTTGAGTTGTTTGATTAGTTTCTGGTTCAAGAATTTTGGAGATTGGAGACTTAGGAAAAGCAATTAATTTTTTAAATTGTTGTTTAGATAATTCAGTAATAGCAGAAGTTGGAGATTGACTAAGAGTAGTAGTAGATTATCCAAGTGTATTTGGGTGTTCAATTCGGTAGTTTTTAGAAATAAAGCTGGTATGGTATTTGCTACAATAGCAGGTACTAATCAAGGGTTGTAAAGGAACTGGAAAGAAATGTTGTTGTTTTGAAGTGTTGCATTCTTCAGGTTTGAAAGCAGGTTGAAGAACTTTTAATTGTTTAGCTCTGGTTTCAAAAATTCCTAATCCAAAACAGTCTCTATAGTTAGAGTAATAGTAGTCTAAGTTGTAGAAATCAGGTTCTTCAGCTCTAAGAGTAGGCATTATAAAGATTTAATCGATTTGAAGAAATGTCAAAAAAGAGGTGTGACAAATAAGGGATGTGACAAATAAGTAGTATAGCAATTAAGAGGTGTGATAGATAAAGAGTGTGATAGATAAGGTATTACCCAGTATAACAGTTAAAGGATCGGCAGGATCAATGAGATCGACAAATTGTATAAATTAAATAAAACTAAAAATAATAAATTAAAAATTTTGTATAAAATGGATGTAACAAGAGTTAAAATTGTGTAAATTGATTAATAATATTGATTAGTAATGGGAATCAGCAGGTTTAAACATCCTAAAGGAGCAGGATCCCCCAAAAAAGAAAAAAATTTTTGCAAAAATTTAATGCAAATTTTGCAATGGAGTTTTGTATTGTTTTTGCTATAAAATTGTCAGTTTATATCCGTTTAAGATGCTTAATATAACAAAATGAAGCTATTGTTGAGCTTATTCTTTTGTATTAATATACAAAGTGGGTTTACTTAGTAAAATTTTGTGTAAATAAAGCAAGTATAAAATTTTATAAAATTAGCTATATCTCTATATAGAAGAGCTTTAGAGATATAAAACTAGGCTGCTTATATATAAAATTTAACTAAAAACAATTTTACTTAGGCAGCCAAAGTAGGTTTACTTAATAAAATATTGAGAAAAGTGCAATTGTTTTTAAAGAAAACTTGGTATAAGTAATCGTCGGGAAGAGTTAGTGATTTGCATCTACTTAATCCTATTAATTACTATAACTTCATAAATATTAATATCTCTAAAATTAATAAAATTTGTTAATTTTATATTAAGTATTATTAAATTATATAAAATTTCTATATATATTAAATTAAATGCATAAATTCACAACTATTCAAATTATTTAAAATATTTTAAAATATTAATTTTTTTAAATATATTATTTTATATGATTATATTCGCATTTATTCAAATTAGTGATTTGACTTATCAAAAAAATCACCACTCGGGTCACCCGTCAGGTGGACCATGAGTCATCTGAGTGAAAATCAGATCAGTTATCCACTCAGATCACTCGTAGGTCACCTGGATCACCTTCAACGGGTTACCCAAATCACCTTTAATGGGTCATCCGAATCATATATAAACCTTACTATTTCTCAACTTATATTAAAGCTTTTTTAAAAACTTGATCAGGATTGAGATAGTGTTGCCTGCTGCAAAGTCGTAACTTAGCTTTTTTACAGTTTATTTATGTTTTAATTTATTAGATTATTAACATCACATTCTGTTGCAACTCTAATGACATTATAAAAAAGTCACACTTCATTTGCAGCAAGCAATACTAATTGGGTACCCTATATTCAGAAAAAAAATGTAGAAAAAGCTAGTAAGCATTACTGTTTAAAATGTTATTTTTTAAATTAATTAAAATAATAATGTTTATTAACTCAAACAAATCAAAAGTACATCCTGTAGCTACCAGTAACTTCTTTGTACTTCAAATTATTTTTACTGAAAAGTGTAATTGTAAGTATATATTTGGTTTTGTTCTACAATTCGTTTTCATTTACAATTCGCTTAAAGCCAGATAATATATGCAGTATATATATAATGATCCTGCTGTGCTATCGTGCTTATATGCAACAGATCTAAAGATTTAATAATTGCTTTTACTTGTTCTAAATATTTTATTTTTACTAATATTAAATATATTTGAAGTTTATTACATAAGTTTATTACATATTTAGTCTATATTTAGTCCCAAATCTTACAATACAAGCTATTATACTTAACAAACAATAATTTGCTCACTGTCTCAGGTGGCAAGCAGTTTCTTTTTAAAGTAATTTAGTTTCCCGTATCAGAGAAAAGTTGCTTACTTGGAACTGAGGTTGCAAGAATTGATAAGTATTTACGAGCTATTTGACTTAAAATAGGAAAAGAATTATGATTTTTACGCCACCAAGTGTAAATATCAGCAGCTTCAGATAAGACCTTTTCATTTAAATAGTCATTGATCTCAGGTTTGTTATTTATTTTTTGACTACTACTAAAGATTTTTTCATAAAACTAGGTGTGGTGATTTCATGATAGATTTTTGGTTCGTTGGTTATAGTTGTCTCTTTTCAAATTTGAAATTCAGCTTGCAATTTACCAATTGTTTCGGTTTGTAAGGTATTAGGCCATGCTTTCATTAATTTTAATCGAGAATCTAGTAAGGTGGCTAATAGTTTAATATCTTCTGAATCTTGTCAGTAGCGCCACAAAGAATTATAAATCACTTCTTGAATCTTTGTGATTATGACTTCAGGTGAGAATTAACTTTCTATATCATTATCAAACTCTTTACTGAAATCTTCATTTAATAACTCTTCATTTAGAGTTTGAAAAATATTAGTTAGCACTTGATACTTTATAATAGTTACTTACAAACAGAGACGATGATTTTCTGCAATGATATTTATTTATTTCAAAAATAAAAATCACTGCAAAAAATCAACATCCCTGCTTACAAATTGATTAACAAGTTTATATATTTATCATTATTAAAGTTATTCTCAGCAGATTCATCAAATTCACCATCAGCAAATTCAAACTTTAATAATTTAATGACTGGATTGACAATCGAAAGAGTGGTGTATTGAATTCCACTGAAATAGGTTATCATTTCATCGAATGGCTTAACACAGGTCGAAATCAAAAATATCATCATCATATCATCTAATATCGCCTATGGTGATAGCAAGCAGATAGACTGTTGGCTATAAACTGATTGATTAGATATAAAAAAAGCTAATAGGCTGAAGATTTTAGTAAAATATGTTACATATCAGTTTAATGCCAGATAAAAATATCTATTTATCATAAAGAAGATTAGTTAATCTTTAAAAAGATAAAAAGAAGATATTAATAAGATATTCGAAAGATGATTAAACGATTTGATTAATCATAGACCGATATTATAATGGCTATTTAATAAAATTTTGCAATTCATTAAACAATATTTGGCAGATATTTAGCAATATTTAGCAGATATTTAAGGGGTAGATCGCACCTAAAGGGTATAAATTTTATATGATCATATGACGCAGATTAATTATATCAAATGTGCGACACGTTATTTTAACCTTATATCAAACCAATGCTACATTTAAGAAAAGATAATGTTTAATCTTCGAATTCGACAGAACGTAACCAATAATAGTAAAGGCTTAAATATATCTCTCGCTTACTATGTAAACTAAAAAGTTTACTCAGTAAGACACGCGCATTCAGGCCAGATTAAGTTGGATTTTTTGTTAATTGCAATGTTCAAATACTTAAAAAATATACTTTTTTCTTCTTGAACTATTTAGCTAGGCACACGAGAACATCAAATATTATTTAATGCTACAGTCAGGCTTGATCTAAGAGAGTCCATAGGTTAATCTAGAAATCAGTTTTTGGATACCAGAAGTCGACTAAGCTGATTTATCCTCAAACCAACGCTATTCAATATATTGACAGTAAGATAAAGTTATTTTTTCAGATAATTTAAGAGCAGATTCCAGACATATGAAAATTATACTAAGTTTTGTTCGTATATACGATTAATAGAGACTTGCAAGATTCAATTTTTACAAGTAATCCTTTTAGGGTTAAGTTAAGCGTTAGTATTGTCATTTATTTTTTTTGTTAGAAAAGTGACTTTGATTTAACGAATTCTTTCTTTTACAAACCGTACGTAATATTATGATCTCTACATCCGTTCTAATTTTATTTCATACTGTACTACTTTACAATATCTATTGTTAACAATCCGGTTTTACTTCACCACTAAGAAAATAATACTTTAATGCATTGTATTATGTTTTATCAAAAAAATAAAATAAAAAAAATTATGCTTTAGGCATTCAACTGAGAATCTTGGTTTTATCTTACGTTATTAGTTAATCCTAAATGCTAATTTATTTGATCACATTTATTAATAACGCTTTATAATACTACAATTGACCAATCGATCCCTACAAATATATCCCTTCGAGAATAAACCAAGTTGTCAATTATGCTTATTTAGAGAAATCACTTTATGAAGAATTCTGTAGACTTGGATTAAGGCATAGCATACATTAAGAAAGAGATTACAACAAATAAACATTGACCAGATTAGTATGGTACAGACAGGTTTTAAAATCATACCATATTAAATCTGGTAATTCCTAACCAAATTCTAATATTATTAGTATAATATGGATTTTAAAGTTGGGCCTGTATCTATTCCATAATTGAGATCTCGAAATGCTCCATTTCATTTATGCGATTTATGAAATTTATAATCATAGCCTGAGTTTAATTTCATAGTATATTTATGTTTCATTTACATGCTTCGTTTTGGCAAATAAATGCAATTACGTTCATCTTTTCAACACAAATTCACTTTGTTAACAGCCAACTTATTAGGACCTCCCGGATTTCCATTTCAACATCAATACCGTCCCATTATTAGATACTTGGTTTGCAGTGCTGATTAACAATCGATTGATCTGATTTAAACACAAAACAAAAATTGAAATGTGGCATTTGATATCTATAATATGATGAATAAAATACTTACTCATATTCGCTATTTGAAGAAGAGTCCTTGAAAGTTTCAAGTGCAATGATAGTTCCTTGCTCATTAAATTCTCTTGAGTACCTTCCAATCCAGTTGTGAATAGTAGATACTTGAGGAATGTCATCATCGTTGATCTCCCTGGATTGTGCAAACTTTTTAAGCTCCAAATACATTCTCTGCGCTGTTAACTTGTCTTTGGCATTTATGTTTCCGTTCAAAAAAAATTGTTTTAATAAACCAACAACCTTTTTTTTAATTTTTTTGGCCCCACTCTTTTTACCAAATTTGGCATTAGCTGGAAATGCCCAACCTTTAAGCATTTGAAATCCTTCGTCGATACCTCTAAAAAAGTTCATGTTAATTAAACGCAAAATAATCCAAAAAACATAATTTCTGCAAACCTGTCTCTAGAATTATCCATATCAGCTGACTTTTGACAATAAACGAATGCATTGCGCTCATTTATTTCAACCCTCATTCCATTGATATGTTCTATTTCAGAAGATTTCTGAAAATTAATGAATGCCCTTCGTTCATCCACTTCAACTCCAGAATTGCCCATTTCAGCAGGTTTTTGAAGACAAATGAATGTCTTCTGTTCGTCTCTTTCAACAGCAATTTCTGAATGAATAATATAAAAGTAAAATAACCGTTATTTATTCAGCCTAAAATTATAGAATAACACTAATTCCTACCTTCGATGTTCATTTCGAAATCTCCTTGATAATCATCCTCATTAAGATTAGGAACTTCTGTTTTTACAAGAAAATCGTTCAGAGACTTCTTATTAGAAATACTAGAGATAATTCCTACCTTCAATGTCCATCTCAGAACCTTCTCTATGACTATCCACGCTATTAATATTGGTAACTCCTGTTTTACAAGAAATGTTCTGTTAATTTTTTTATGCGGTAATTAGTTTGTAAAATACTGAAATATCAAATTATATATATATATATATCCCTTAGATTGTAGTAGAACGCAGGCAAATTTGCCTGCGTTTTTGCACTTTTTTAGCTCTGATTTATTTTT